GAACCGGGGTTGATATACAGGCAGGGATGAGGTTGATTACTGGCAGGTGTGGCAGGCTGACGAGGTGGCTGACGATGTGCAAGTGCGGGTTGTTGGCTGGGCTCAGGAGCGGAGGGAGAGAGAGGAGGAGAACACGTAGGGGAGGAGACACAGGGAGGCAGGCTGAATACAGGAGAACAAAACAGTGGGAGAAAAAAAATGAGAAAAAACCAGGACACTCACCGTCAGCCGGGCTGGCCCCACAACAGGGCCCCCTCAACGGACACCCCCAGGCAGCCCACTCAGCTTATCTGGATGGGCCCTGTAAAAGTCTGTCAGGAGGGTTTTGTCCAGGATCTGGCTGGAGGGAACCCAGGAGCGCTCCTCCGGGCCATAACGCGCTCCTCCGGGCCATAACTGGGCCAATACACCAGATAGCGGTAGCCCCCGGCCCCCGGTTAATGACGGCCTCAATGGGATAGGGGCCGATGAACTGGGGGGCGAGTTTCTTGAAAGGGATCTGCAGGGGAAGGTCCCTGGAGGAGAGCCAGACTCGCTGCCCAGGCCGGTAGGTGGGAGCAGGGGCCCGGTGGCGGTCTGCCAGCTGACGCTTGCGGGCCACGGTGCGGAGAAGAGCGGCCCTGGCCTCCCTCCAGATCCAGTGGCAACGCCTGAGGTGGGCCTGTACAGAGGGACCGCCACCTCCTCCTCCAGGGACGGGAACGGGGAGGGCTGGTAACCCAAGGCGCACATGAATGGGGACATACCAGTGGCAGCGCTGACCTGGGAGTTGTGAGCGTACTCAATCCAGGTGAACTGGGGTCCCCGGAGTCCAGAGGGATTCCATGGAGGCGGAAGACGTGGTTGATAAGCAGGCGGGCTGTTTCCAGAGAAGTGGGGAGTTTGGGCAGGGGAATGAAGTGGGCAGACTTAGAAAAGCGGTCGACGATAGTGAGAATGGTTGTATTTCCATTAGAGCAGGGGATACCGGTGACAAAGTCCAGGGCGATATGGGACCAGGGACGAACGGGGACGAAGCAGACCGGCAGGCGGTTGATAGGAGGGTTTGGCGCAGGCGCACATCCAACAAGCCGCTACGAAGGCTCGACAGTCTTTCTCCATTGAGGGCCACCAGAACCGTTGGCGAAGCAGGAAGAGGGTGCGGGCCATCCCAGGGTGACAGCTGAACTTGGAGGTGTGCGCCCACTGGAGGACCTGGGAGTGGACACATGATGGGACGTAGAGGCAGTTCTGGGGGCCAGTGCCGGGATCGGTGGACTGGGCTACCAGGCAAACGTGTTCAGTGTGTTGGGCGGAGTCGCGGGAGAAGATCAGGATATCATCGAGGTAGACAAAAATGAAATGGTGGAGGAAATCACGTAGGACGTCATTAATCAGGGCTTGGAAAACGGCGGGGGCGTTGGTGAGTCCGAAGGGCATGACTAGATATTCGTAATGACCGAGGGGGGTGTTGAAAGCCATTTTCCACTCGTCCCCCTCCCGAATCTGCACCAGATGGTAGGCGTTTCTTAGATCTAATTTAGTAAAAATGGTGGACTGGGAGAGGGAGTTGAAGACCGAGTCCATGAGTGGCAGAGGGTACTTGTTTTTTACAGTGATGGCGTTGAGCCCCCGGTAATCGATGCAAGGACGGAGGCTTTTATCTTTCTTTTCGACGAAGAAAAAGCCGGCACCCAACGGGGACGAGGAGGGGCGAATGATGCCGGCTGCAAGGCAGTCTTTAATATACTGCTCCATCTTCCCTCTCCGGGCGCGACAGTTTGTATAGGTGACTGGACGGGAGGGGCGCGTCCGGGAGGAGGTCTATGGAGCAGTCGTAGGGGCGGTAGAGACAGGGCCTGGTCTTTACTAAAAACGAGCGCAAGGTCATGGTACTCACTGGGCACCCCGGAGAGGTCAGTGGGGATGGGCGGCAGGACAGGTGAAGCACGATTACCGGGGGCGATGGTGGCGTCGAGTGGGATGAGGGGGTTCGTGAGAGGTGGGATGAAGGGGTTCGGCTCGCCAGTAGACCCAAAACTACTGAATCTTTTGCCCGCACGGGACAGGCAGGCAGGAGGTGGCCGGGTTTGCCGCAATAAATGCATTCACCGGCCAGACGGCGCCGTTCGCGTTCCTCTAGGGAGAGGCGAGCGCGGCCCACCTGCATGGGTTTGGGAGGAGCTACGGGGGAAGGCGAAGGACGTGGGCCCTGATGGTGTAGCCAAGCATTGTGCGGGGGACGGCAAAACAGAGGCCCGGGATGGTGTGAGGCCAGAGCGGGAGGCGGCGGATCCGCAAGCGATGCTGTCCCTGGCTCTTTCCCACAAGCGGTTATCAACCAGAGCGTCAAGGCCCGCCGGCACGTCCCTAGCGGCCAGCAGATCCTTAATGCGATCGCTGAGGCCGTCCAGGAAAACGCACCGGAGGGCCTCGTTGTTCCAGCCTGAGAAATCGACTGAGTACTCTGCCACACTGCGATCGCCCTGGCGAAGGCTGGCTGGTTGCTGGCTGCCTCTCAAACACCAGGGCGCACTGTACCAGGAAGCCGTCGCACATGCCTAAAACGCCGGAGAATTTGTCCGGGTGGGAGACCGGCGACTCGTGAGGGAACGGGACACCGGCGGGGGGACACGGGCTTAAGTCAGCCGTCAGGGAGCAAGGCGGAGAGTGATGGGATCAGGGAAGCGCGTACCGAGGCGCTTACCTCTTCTGTCAGGAAGCCAAGCGCGCCCGACACGCGGGGTATAGGGCCAGTGGAGACAGAACAGAAGGGACCCAAACGCAACGCTCATTGGGAAGGACGTTTATTGAGGGTTTACAGAGGGGCTAGGGAAGAGGACCACCAAAGCAAAAATGTCCCATTTCACAAATCTGGTCACGTTTTACTGTGTAAAACAAATGTGTAAGTACAGTGTACGGAGTGTAGTGCATGTTAATGTACTAACAGAAGTATCCAAATTGAATGCGACAACTTGTGTTGTCGCACTTCCTTGATGTTTGGCTGTCTTAGCAATGTTGTCAACTTGCTTATTCACAACAGCAGTGGATTATGCTCTGAAACAGTAGGGGAACCAAATCGCACAAAAAAAACTATAACATAAATATAGTTGCTTTAACTCTTAGCAAACTATTTTATACAGTGTACATTACTATATAGGTATAGAATACGCAGAATCTTTGTTGCCATTTGTTACATTTTACAATCCTCTTTCAAAAGCTAATAATTCTGGAGGACATTGATTTAGTGCCGTTACTAAATGTCTTGTGAAACTGCACACTGATGAAGTTTTCACATTCTTTTTGTTGACCAGAGTTGTGGGTATCTCAAAACTTATGATGCTTTAATTTTAAATTACAGAGCTGGCCGATTACTATAAATGAATAATGAATTTCATCACCTACTGTAATATGAACACGTCTCCTCTCAGTGCAGCGGTGCGCATTGTCCAGAACAGGGCAGAAGCCTAATTACTTAGTTACAGCATTGGGGAGACCAGGCTAATCTCTTATGGGTCTCTCCAACAGATGTGTCCAATTAATGGCCCGTCTTTGAAGGAGTTTAGATGAGTATTACTCTGGGAATTTTATTTCAAAGTAAAAGACCCAGCCTCGTTTCTGACGAGTAGGCTTTATAGGCAGTCTTAATCACAACATTCTTCTATTCAATCATACATCTTACAAAGAACTGCAGGAATATGAACTGATCTAAAGCCAGTGTGAATGTTAATGACCTGAACAGAGCAGATAGGGGTGACTGATAACATCCCTGGTCAAAGTCATTACTTCACTTGCTGGTACACAGCAGGATAGCTGTTTGGGAAATAAGACATAGGGAGTGTTATCTAGTAAAATGAAAGAATACAGAGTGTACCCTAGTCTAAATAGTTGAATCCTGGGGGGAGGTGGGGGGCAATGCCCATCCAAATGAGCTCTTTGTATTACAAGTGAGAGGCCTTGTGGGTGGCAAAAGAAAAATCCCACAATATTTTATTACTTGCACAACTCCTGTTTTCCTTGAATGGAGGAGTTTGGTTTAAGAGGACCCTTACAGTCATAGAAACAGAGGAGTTAATGCTGTCCAGAAAACCTTAATAGATCTGTGCCACGGCTCCCCTGCTGCTCTGAGAGAAGCCTGTCACGTTGCATGTACATGCATTTAGGCTTATTTAAGTCGATCCTGCCGGCTGGCTGACAGGCACGTCTCACTGCTGGAGATGCAACCTCGTTGTCTGGCAACCTCTTGATCAAAGAGTTCTGTGGTGTGGCCAGCACACTGCAAACGGTGACAAAGAGAGCGCTGCCCTGCAAATGCAAAAGATAACAGGAAAAAAAACAGAAACACAACATCTACGTCCATTTATGACATCCTGTCCTTCAGTGTTCATAACCTGGACTTAAATTATTAATCGGCATTTTTGATCTGCTGGTCGATGGGCCCCATGGCTCTTCCAGATACATGCATTCATTACTCCTCATCCTCAAACTGAAGATGAAGACCAGAAAAAAATAGGCTGCAAGTCCTATGACCTTTAAGTTTTTGAATTTTGGAAGCAAATTGGGACCAATGACATTGGCGTGTCCAGTCTGGCCTTTATTAATGGAGTTGAAAATCCAGAGGCGACTATGGACATTCTGTATTCTCATTTCCAATCTCTCGTGTATATTGTGATGCTTATAGCTATTGAAAAATGAAACCGCAGCATTATAAATAACATAATATCTTCTTGACAACTCATTAAATATTTACCAGTTGCTTTCACACAAACAGCTCTCATCCTGGAACTCAAAAACAGAAGAATGATGACATCTACGGAGTGGATTTGTTCAAGTCTGTCACATTCAAAGGTTAACTGTAAAGAAATTATGTTGATTGTTCCATTTCAGTATCATTTCTAGAGGTGAGATTGTGAAAACGTTATTGAATAGTACGTCTGAAAATGTATCTGTATAAACACCTTCCTTTCAGCAAAGACTAAATATGAAGACCTACAGCTAAATAGGACCATTTGAACATTTACAGAGCAGAGATTGGCATTTATTTGAAACATGAACACACAGTACCAAGAGAAATACAAAAATGCACTTTCAAATCAATACACATTTGAACATCCAAAAAAGATGAAAGAAATAAGGAAACAGTCAAATCCTCTTGAATTCCCTTTTGTTTTCTCATTGTTGTTTTTAACTCTGCAATCCACACAGCAAATTTTTACCCATTATTCTGAAATGGATTGCCCATAGTCTAGTCTGCACTTTGGTGGTAGAGGGACAGGTGTCAGGATTGTTCGGATGACACCACATGTCAAGACATTGAGGTTTCACCTCCAAAGACAGCTGTGTGTGTTATATACATTCTGTTATTTTATTGACCTCTGGTCCAATACATTGCTTATTAAAATACAGAGGCTATAAAAAATATGTTCCCACTTTCACTAGTTCAGCATTAATGACTCCTATATTTGTATATATTCATAAATAATTTAATACATAGATAAATAGATATTCTGTGTGTGGATTATAAACTTTCATAAAAGCAATTTTTTTTTCAGTTATACAGGAGTGACTATAAATGCTGAAATGCTCGAGGGCTGCTGTCCGACCCTGATTTCTGGTAGACTGGGTGAAAGGCCGTGAGTTTACATGCGGCTTGGCGCTGGTGTTGAGTGCCAATGTCCCCTCTCACCGTGCCAGTCTCTAGCTCCGCTGGCACTCGTTCTTACTGCAGGTGGCTTGACGCTCAATCTGCCATGTGCCCTCCTCGTATGTGCAGTAGCAGATTGTACACTCATCGATCTTCACCTCTCGTCCGGCCGGTATCACTGCTGTGTCTGCGTAGCAATTTGGCCCTATAGGTGGTACGAGAAAAACAGGGAAAGTACAGCTAAATACAAAATAGGCCTTATCAGGGGCGTTGATAAACATAAATCTCTACTGGGGCACAGGCCCCCACATCCCTCATGTAAATTTTTGATTTATTTTTGATTGAAGTGTATGAAATGTGTTAGTATGTGCCTTACCAGCTTCCCTTGCTAAGCCCATTAATATTGGTCATGTTAGAAAGGGATTTGACTGGAGCATAAGCACATATACCTATTTTATGAATGTTACCTGTGAGCCATGTAAACAATTTACCACTGCTGCACAGTCCCACCTGACACCACATTGCTCTCACTACTAACTTTAAAACAGTCTGTTTCTGTTATAAGCCTGAATGGAAACCTCTTCTAGAAAAATCCTCATAAAGCCTGTTAAGATTGGTGCTGGCTGTACATCTCTGGCTGCGGTCGTGCTGGCTGAGGCTTCCTGTATTTCAACTGGGTCTGTGTGACCTGCTAAAGATGTCTGGACTGGGTCTGCGCTGGTACTGGATTTGGATCAACTGTGCTCATACTGGCTTATGATCCACCATCTACTCTACTGACAAATTTAAGCATAGCCCCTTTAAATAATAGATATCAATACTTGCTAGATATTTATGTTGTCAGCTGCATCAGGCCCATTCAAACCGGCTGCCCAGGTTTCCTTTAACATTTCCAAAATTAAAAATGTATTTATTAATTAGTGATTATTTTCTTCAGATAAAATTAATTTAGGCTATTTTTCAACACCTATAGTTTTTTCAGGGTTGATTTCATTCTTCAAGTTTTTAGTCCATAGAGCTGGGCAGTATGGCCAAAAATGTTATCACGATAAAAAATTTAATATCATTCGATATTGATTATTATCTCGATAAATGTCAGATCATGATTTCTATCAAGTTTAAAGGCTCCTTAGTGAAAGCTGAAGAAACCAGATAGTTAATTGTGGTTTAAACTCTTCTTTATGGTCAGAACATGAAAATCACTTGTCAAACAGTGGATCACTTCACAAATAAACATAACAAATATGCATAAGTAAAATTAAGTTTTTTTCAGTCCCAGTAAGTGCTAATTTGTTGATGATTCAAATCCAACAATTATTGAATATTTATTGAACATTTCTTATATTGTTATTCAAGAAAAATTATACTGTGATAATTATTTTTAGGCTATTGCTTTATTGTCTAGCCCTAATTTATACTACAACCCCAATTCCAATGAAGTTGGGACGTTGTGTAAAACGTAAATGCAAACAGAATACAATACAATACATGATTTGCAAATGCTGAATTGAATACACCACAAAGAGAAGATATTTAATGTTCAAACTGATAAACTTTATTGTTGTTTGCAAATATTCACTCACTTTGAATTTAATGCCTGCAACACGTTCCAAAAAAGCTGGGACAGGGGCATGTTTACCTCTGTGTTACATCACCTTTCCTTTTAACAACACTCATTAAGCGTTTGGGAACTGTGGACACTAATTGTTGAAGCTTTGTAGGTGGAATTCTTTCCCATTCTTGCTTGATGTAAAACTTCAGTTGCTCAACAGTCCGGGGTCTCCGTTTTTCGTATTTTGCGCTTCATAATACGCCACACATTTTCAATGGGAGACAGGTCTGGACTGCAGGCAGGCCAGTCTAGTACCCACACTCTTTTAGAACGAAGCCACGCTGTTGTAACACGTGCAGAATGTGGCTTGGCATTGTCTTGCTGAAATAAACAGGGACATCCCTGAAAAAGACGTTGCTTGCATGGCAGCATATGTTGCTCCAAAACCTGTCTGTACCTTTCAGCATTAATGGTGCCTTCACAGATGTGCAAGTTACCCATGCCATGGTCACTAACACACCCCCATACCATCACAGATGGCTTTTGAACTTTGCCCTGATAACAATCCGGATGGTCCTTTTCCTCTTTGGCCCGGAGGACACAACGCCCATAATTTCCAATAACAATTGAAATGTGGACTCGTCAGACCACAGCACACTTTTCCACTTTGCGTCAGTCCATCTCAAATGAGCTTGGGCCCAGAGAATCCGGCGGCGTTTCTGGGTGTTGTTGATATATGGCTTTCGCTTTGCATGGTAGAGTTTTAACTTGCACTTGTTGATGTAGCGACAAACTGTGTTAACAGACAATGGTTTTCTGAATTGTTCCTGAGCCCATGTGGTAATATCCTTTACACAGTGATGTCGGTTTTTAATGCAGTGCCGCCTGAGGGATCGAAGGTCACAGGCATTCAATGTTGGTTTTCTGCCTTGCCGCTTAGTTGCTGAGATTTCTCCAGATTCTTTGAATCTTTTGATGATATTATGGACCATAGATGATGAAATCCCTAAAACAGGTGTTTGTTTATCAGTTTGAACATTAAATATCTTGTCTTTGTAGTGTATTAAATTGAACATTTTATTAGTCAATGTGAATCCAGTGCTTTCTACCTTGCAATTGTCCAGAGTTGTAATCAAACCTTCACTGAGAGACAGATAATCACTATCTTGTTTTAAAATGATGTGTGCCTATGAGGAGTGCCATCCCATCTGTGTGCTGTCTGGACTGAACCCACTAATGTTACTGCTGGAATGCAATAATGTCCGGCTGCGGACTGTATGTGCATGCTCATATGAGTGCATGTTCATGCGCGACATAGTTATCATTTCCTTGCTGTATTTTATAAACATCGCTGCCTGTCGGTTTTTATCATAGGTTATAAATAGTTGTATTTCACTCTAATATTGTTCAGTCACAGTCTGCTGACTGCTGTTCCCAAAAGTTACTCTCATGGAGTTATTGTCTCTTCTTGTGCACAGATGGATAGTCACTCTTTGTCCTCTGATCAATGTTGTGAACAGTCGCTTTCAACATTGCCTCATTTTTTGCGACATTTTATATTAACAACATTAACCAGTAGTTTTATTTTGAAAGTGTAACTGGACGTTGCATGTTTATTATTGCTAACTTAACTCGTTGCAGATGTTGCCAATTGCTGCTAAGTTGACTGCGGAGCCCTACACGTCCAAAAACGACGCCAAGGGGTCATGACAATCTTACTGGTAGGTGTGGGGATAAAAAATTTATACAGTATAGTATCGCAATATTTTCTGTGGCAATATATCGATACACGGACATCAAGTATCGATCTTTTATTATATAAATTGAACATGAGAAGTTTGTTTATTGGTAACTATGACTCTCTTAAGGGCTGGGCTGGAGGGCATCCACTAAGTACCGGCTCCGAGGGGACGGGAAATGGGGGATGTCCGTGAAGGCCCACGACGAGGGAGAGCCGCACTCTGAAAAGGTAGTTCCTTGGGTAAGAGTTATTGGGGTGTGGTAAGATCATAGTGAGCCCTCACCTCCTCGTGGTCCCGCCGGAAACATGCCCAACTGGGCATGGCTAGGAGGGCAAACCCATGGGTAGGTCTAGTCAACCTGCTCATTATTCTGACTACAAACAAAATGGTAACGGCCAGGATCATCCTGCTGGCTCATCAAAATGGATGACGGCCAGCTAGGGACTGGACCCAGTGCGGTATGGCGAAGGAGTCCCACTCCTGGACTGGAGGCTGGGTCTAGGATGTCGCAGCTATAATACCATATTGTGACATAAGTATCATGATAATATCATATCGTGGGGCCTCTGGTGATTCCCACCCCTACTTACTAGGGCACAGCATATAGATACAGGCCCACGTGCCCTAGTAAAAAAGGTCTAGCAACACTTATGGGCCTTCTACTATATTTCAAAATAAATGGAATTTCAAATTGGCCTTATATTTTTTTAATGCGTTTATTGTGTGTTGTGAGGACCATGTCACATTATCGAGGTCAGACTTTGAACACAGAAAATTAATGATTTGCTTTGCTCCTGTGATTTAATATGCTGTGGGAACTGTGTTCTGGTCAAACTAAATGAACAGAAACTTGATGATAGGTCAGTTAATGTTGGATTGTTCACATTCTGAGTTGTGGATGGATACAGAGAACAGAAAAATCATCCTTATGTTTTTTCTGTGTTGAAAAAACACCTGTGTCATTGAGGTCGCACTCGTCTGTGTTACTTTTCTGCTGCTAGACCAACCAAGGACACTGTTCAATGTATAAAAATGCAGTTTAAGGACTGCGCACACCATTCAAAGTCACACTCCTTTGTGCTGCTTGAAGGATCCCAGTCATTTTGAAATTGCCTGAATTCACATGGCCTGGACTCAGGTGAATTGTGAAATAGAACAAACTGCAGTGCAGCAGGCACAGTTGCGAATGCTGGTCTGAGGTCGGTACATCAGATAGCCATGCTGACACTGAGTAGGCAGAGAGCAGTAAAATGGTAAGTTTAATAATATTTTCAAACAGTATGTCATACTTCAAAACCACTACTACTCCTGCTTTAATGTAACTATTGAAGCTAACTGTGTGCAAGCTACTGTGCATTTAACTAGTCTCGCTCATCGCATTACCGTTAGCCTGATGAAGAGACACAGAAAAGTAGAGACCAAATTATGCACATGAAAAAAAACCAACAAATTTTATTTCATGTGAACATGACTGATGATGAGCCAAATGATATGAAACATTTTCAGAAAGATTAGCGACTCATAGTTTAAGGACACTGTATATTTTAACACTCTTACATACTTTAAAAAAAAGATGTGGTCTATTATGAAACATACACACAATTTGCTGACTTATTTGCCACATCATAATATAGGAGACAACGAGCGAATGTAATTTTAAAATCTTTACTTGTTGGTGTACTGCTTAGAGTATAATATTAATGTAATATTTTGTGATCACACATGAGCAATACACACTGGGAATATTGTCCTGGTGTATATAAAGTGGCAATGCCAGGTTATTTCACCAGGGGTCTCATTTATAAACGGTGCATACGTACAGAACAGGGCTGGAAACCCGCGTACGCCACTTCCCAAGCAAAGGTTGTGATCTATAAAAAACAAACGACGAGAAAATGTGCGGTCCCGTGA